GAAACTTTATTCCTGGTGATGTAGGGGTTAAATGGTGTTAGGCTTTCCAGAGAGCCCGGTATGGCCTGGTGAAGTCATCTTCCTCAAAGATATATGGGTAGTTGTCAAAATTAGGGTTTAGGGTTTAGGGTTTAGGGTTTAGGGTTTAGGGTTTAGTACCCTAAATAATAGGTGCCGTATTATAATAAGGGCCCAAAAAGGGACCATAATCTTCACAACCACGCACATCTGGAGGCTTTCAGGATTCTTTGCACTCCGTAGTGGCCATGCAAGAGACCGACTCCAGGCTGTTCCTGGAACTCTCCGCATGCGAGCTCTCAAGCAGACGAGGCACCGTCTTGAATCCTAAACCCGTTTTTTGGAAGATGTTACAATCAACTACCCCCTAGAAGTCTGTACAGTATGAGTACCTGACTCAAAGGAGCTTTGATACCAAAAACCCCAATAAGCCCTAAACCCTAAACCCTAAACCCTAAACCCTAAACCCTAAGCCTCCTGTGGATTCCATGCTTTGTGCTAGCTTCGTGCTAGCCTTGGGGGGCTCCGGCGACTATTACGATTGTGTACTAAACTACACCCCAAGACCCTATTCCAAGTACTCAGGCCCCCGGGTTTAAAGGCTTTTCAAACCTCCAGAAACCCGAACCATTAGCTCTAAACCCTAAACCCTAAACCCTAAACCCTAAACCCTAAACCCTAAACATATGCTTTTGAAAACAAGCCAACAGATTTCTTGAAACCAAAAAACTGTGAATGAATCTCAAGCAGATGCTATTCTAATCCCCTCACCTCCCTTGTTGCCGGCCGCCTCCGAGAAACGAAGGTCCAGCCATTTTCCGAAACGGCTCGAATTTGCGTTCCTGCAGAGACGGAGCGAGGATGCGAGGATTCGGGTTTAGGATCTTTTGGGGTTTAGGATCTAGGATCTTGGGGGTAGTCTTAAGGATTTCATAGGGATGATAGTTGGGAGGAAGCTTTGCGTTTGCTAAATACCGGAAGGAATGCTAGCAGTACTGAGGGCTTTAGGTGTTGGGTTTGGCTACAGCGTTTGGTGCATAGGGATTAGGTGTAGGGTTTGGTGTTTAAAGGCTGTAGGCATGAAAGATGCAGTAGTGGGTGTTGCCGTAGCAGCACTCATGCTAAGAATGTGAACGCTGAACATTTCCAGAAAGCACCAGCACCACCAACCACCACCACCATCACCACCATCAAGTCTCCACCGCCAGCATCACCACCGGTCAACAAAAATTCCACCACACCCACCATCCACCTCACCAGAAGCAACACGCAACCTAGAATCAGAACTGCGAAACCTTAGGCTCACAGCTACACATCCCAAGCTCCCATTCTCCGAACTCGTGCAAATGCTGAGCGGAGTTGAGGGGTTAGGCGCATGGCTGTGGGTTTGGGTTTAGGCTTGAGGGTTACGGCGAAGATGAGACCCAAAGCCACACTTGCAAAAGCTTCTGAGGGTCCTTGCCTAGGTGGAACATAGCAACATAATGTAGGGGCCTTAATAATTAGAATAGGGTTTTGGAGTACATTTTAGTATAGTTAGTATAATTATAATAAGGAGCCCTAAGGAATAATGTTGGTAATTATTGAGGCTTCTATAGTAGAGGTTGGGACGGGAGAGGATATGATACGCTCTCCCGTAACTGCTCCACCCATCCTCACAGACAACCCTTACTTCAGTTCAAAAACCCTCGCCGTCAGGGTCATAATGCAGGGCCTTAATAATTTGAATAGGGTTTGGGGGGTTCCTTGTGATACTTATAGTATAATATGCCCCCAAACCCTATTCCAAATTATTCACGCCCTTGTCATAATCAATAGGATCCTTGTCATAACAGCCCGAAGAAGCCGAAGAGGAGCCCTGACTCTACGAAACTCCCTGGGCCTTTGATCCCTCGACCCCAAACCCTGAATCCCTCAACCAAAGTGTAGGGGCCTTCACAATTAGAATCGGGTTTCTAGGGCATATTACACTATATTATCAGAACAAGGAACCCCCATCATAGTATAGGTAATTATTAAGGCTCCTATACCGAACCCTAAACCCTGAACCCTAAACCCGAAACCCTAAAGCCTAAACCCTGAACCCTAAACCCTTAAACCCTCAAACCCGACCCTAAACCCTAAACCCTGAACCCTGAACCCTATATCTCTCCTGGTGGTGGAGGCATTGCCGAAAGCCTCGAGGATCGGATTGGTCCGTACGACCTGCTCAGCGTTCTTTTCTTCGGGCTAGTTTTGTGATGGGTTTAGGGTTTAGGGTCTAGGGTTCGGGGTTTAGGGTTTAGGGTCTACGATTTTGGGGCTTAGAGATGAGAATTTAGGGTTTAGGGTTCAGAGCTTTTGGAGTTTCGTGTTTCGGGCCTTCTGGGGGTTTAGAGCTTAGGGCTCAGGGCTTTGGAGTTTAGGGTTTCGGGCTTTCTAGGGTTTAGGGTTTTGGGTCTAGCGTTTAGGGTCTAGGGTTCACGGTGCATTTATGTCGGGAAGCGTGTTTCAGGTACTGGAGTTCTTGAGGCTTCAGGATTTATGGATGAGGAGGCATCACGGCTTCGAGTTTAGGGTTTAGGGCTTTGTGCTTGAAGGATCACTGGACTTAGTAACTAGGGTTTTTAACAAGGTAACTTTTTCATAATAACTACTTATAGCCCCAACTGGAATACTTTTTGCCTTTCTTGCTGGGTCCCCTAATCCCAGTCACGG